CCAAGCATTTAAAACAGTTGCTGACTTTTCGTTAATTTTTTGTGAATTTTTTCCTCCCCCATAGGAAACAATGGAGCCTAACTTTTGACAGCTCCATTGTTTCCTATGGGGGAGAAAGAAATTCACAATAAATTAACGAAGACTCAGAAACTGTTTTAAATGCTTGGATTCGTTAGAGCACCTTGCAAAGCCTGTGCAAACTTAGTGTGGCTTCGTTCTGAGTCTTCGTTAGTTTTTTGTGAATTTTTTTCTCCCCCATAGGAAAGCATGGAGCTGTCAAATTTTGACAGCTGTCAAAAGTTGGTGGGGGGAAAAAATTCAGCAAAAATTAACGAAAAGTCAGATCAAAGCCAAATTAAGTTTGCACCCGTTTTAGAAGGTGCACTAACGATTCCAAGCATTTAAAACAGTTTTGAACCTTTTAAGACACACTTAAATTTGCAAAAATGGATATCGCAAAACCATTGTAATGAATTAAATAGGCTTCAAAGCATTCCAATGGAGGAAACATTGTATCGCTTAACGATGTTTCCTATGGGTTTTTTCGCTTAAGGACGGCAATCCGTGCCTATTGGAACGGATTAACCGGTTTTTAATGCATCTCTATGGGAAAACACGTTTCGCTTAACGATGTTTTCCCATAGCGATGGTTTTTTTTGAACCAATTAACATCGTTAAGCGAGGCACCACTGTACTCAGTTTCTAGTTTGTGAATGTGAGATACTGTGTCTGTATCTACAATTCAAAGCTCCCAGAAGTAGTTTTATGTTGCCTTGCACTAAAATGCCTGCATTGCTAGCAGGAAAAAGGAATGCCATGCTTTACATAACAAAAGGCAGCCTGAATGTTGACAGCACCAATGTCAGCAATCAAGATGGTATATAGCAGAGGTCCCCAACCCCCGATACGCGGCCCAGTGCCGGTCCATGGCCTGAGCTGGAGCAGGCCGCGGAGACAGACCTCCCCCCACACATGCACTCCCCCCCGCACAGCCTCTTTGTGCCTGCGTATGCGCGCAGAGGTAGCCCCAAGTAGAGCTCATTACAGTAGTCTAATCTTGAGACGACAAGTGCATGGTCCAGAGTGGTGAGCGCCCCAACATCAAGATAGGAATGCAGCTGGGCAATCCACCAAAGATGGAAGTAGGCGGTGCAGACCACTGATGCTACCTGGGTTTCCATGGTGAGCGCTGGATCCAGATAGGCTCCCAAGCTGTGAACCTCAGTCTTTGTGGTGAGAGTCACACACCCCATAAAAGAAAGGGAGTTTCCCAAACCATCAGTGGAGGGGTCGCCCACACTCAGGACCTCAGACCATTTTCCTGCATCCACTGCAGTACAGCCTCCAGACAGAACTGAAGGGACGAAATGGCATCCACTGTTGTTGGGGGAAAGGAGATGTAGAGCTGGGTGTCATCAGCATACTGATGACATGAAGCCCCACACCCTCACCTCATGTACATGTTAAACAGTATTGGGGAGATAATCAAGGCCTGCGGGACCCCACAATTGAGGCTCCACAGAGCCGATATACTCTCCCCAAGCTGTACTCTGAGGACAGTTCTTTGTTGCCAAGGTTACATCCTGACCTCAGCTCCAGAGATGAAAATAGATACAGAAAGAGGCAAAACCAATAAACAAGGGAAAGGTGACTTGGTTTGCCATATTGTTTGCATGTGTGTGCAAAGCCACTTCACTCCTTATAAACTTGTTCCAAAACCTAAGAATTAATTGTTGCTGAGTTTTGTTTCTTCTTAAGCCAAACTGTGAAATAAAAATATTAAAAATAATAATTTCCTCTGCATTTTCAGGTCCTTTTTGTAATGTATAAAATAGATTTTTTTTCTACAACATTCTGAAATAATTAAGCCACAGATAATATGTTAATACTGTTATTTAAGAATGTTGAAAAGAGGGTTCAGCCCCTAAGATTTTTTAAAGCCTGAGTGTGTGTTTTTAATCTTTTACAGAGATGAATTCAAGGCCTTTCAAATCTTGGGGCTAAATCTAATTGTTACTCGCATTGTCACATTGTACAAGAACAAAGGAGACAGGGATGAGTGCAATAACTACCGTAGCATCTCTCTTCTCAGCGTTGTAGGGAAGCTGCTTGCCCGTGTTGTGCTGAAGAGGCTCCAGGTGCTTGCAGACAGAGTCTATCCAGAATCTCCGTGTGGATTTCAAGCCAATAGATGCACCACTGACATGGTATTCTCCCTCAGACAGTTGCAGGAGAAATGAAGGGAACAACAACAGTCACTCTTTGTGGCCTTCATAGATCTCACAAAGCCCTTTGATTTGGTTAGCAGGGATGGCCTTTTTAAAATACTTCCCAAGATTGGATGTCCACCTCAATTCCTTAACATCACCAGGTCCTTCCACGAGGGAATGAAAGGCACTGTAGTTTTTGATGGCTCAACATCAGATCCCTTTGACATCCGAAGCGGAGTGAAACAGGACTGTGTCCTCGCACAAACCCTTTTTGGGATCTTTTTTGCTGTCATGCTGAAGCATGCCTTTGGAACTGCAACAGAAGGTGTCTATCTCCAGACTAGATTAGACGGAAAGCTCTTTAATCTCTCTAGCCTGAAGAAAACACAAATCATAGGCCAGGGCATGGACTCACCTCCCTCTATTACCATCTCCATGCAAGAATTGGAGATTGTTCATGACTTTGTGTACCTTGGCTCAACAATCTCTGACACCCTCTCTCTAGATGTCGAGATGGATAAATGTATCAGGAAAGCAGCCACCATGTTCTCTAGACTCACTAAGAGATTATGGCTCAGTAAGAATCTGACGACAAATACCAAGATCCAGGTCTATAGAGCCTGTGTCCTGAGTATATTCCTGTACTGCAGTGAGTCCTGGACCCTTTGTGCATGGCAGGAGAGAAAGCTGAACATGTTCTATATGCGTTGCCTCCGACGGATTTTTGGTATATGTTACTGAAATAGCGACATCTACGCTGGCTTGGGCACGTTGTGAGAATAGCTGGTGGTCGGATTCCATATACTGTATCTCCTGTATGGAGAATTAGTGCAGGGAAATCGCCCCAGAGGGAGGCCACAGCTGCAATACAAGGACATCTGCAAGTGGGATCTGAAGGCCTTAGGAATGGACCTCTACAGATGGGAAACCATGACATCTGAGCGTTCAGCCTGGAGGCAGGTGTTGCATCACGGCCTCTCCCATTTTGAAGAGACCCTTGTCCAGCAGGCCAAGGCAAAGAGGAAGTCACAAAAGCAGCAAAATCAGGGAGCTGGGCAGGGGACAACTTGGATTTGTCTTCAGTGCAGAAGGAATTGTCACTCTCGAATCAGCCTCCTCAGCCACACTAGACGCTGTTCCAAGTCCTCCATACAGAGCATGTTGCCATAGTCTTTCAAGACTGAAGGATGCCTAACTAACTAACCAACCAGTAATGGGTTACAGAAAGCGGTATTGACAGTCAAAAGTACACTCCTCTCTTTGGTGCAAAATTCCCTGTTTGGGGGAACAGTTTGAATTAAAAGTTCCACACTGTTATTAAGTAGGTCTGTCTAATTAACTGGGCTACCCAGTGTGGTGTAGAGAGTAGAGTGACAGATAGAACTCAGGAGACTTGAGTTCGAATCCCCATTCAGCCATGGAAGTTCACTGGCAGTGTGGAACTGGTAAAACCACACCCTAAATATCTCACTTACCTTGAAAGCCTTATAGGGCCACTATAAGTCGATTCTGATTTGACATCACATAACAACCACAGTCTAATTAACTACTTCCAGAATGTTATGTATTCAGTTATGTAGGATTCAGACATCCCAAACCCTTTCAAACCAATCATATTCTTCACTGCTGTTGCTGTTACTGCTGCTGCTGTTCACAAACTATCTGAAAGCACTTTAAAGCTTATGGCCTCTGTCTTCCTAAATGTGTGTCATGCATATTTTATATTTAAAAATGTAGGAATATCTAATTTCATCAAGGCGATTGAATTGTATTGGTATGTCATGTACAAAATACACTAGAGGCTGAATTTCTCACATTGGGAAAGTAAGAGAATCCAATAACAGAACATATTGTCCTGCGTGTTTAGGGTACAAGCAAAATAAGCACCTCAAGACAACAATGGAAGAGAATTATTTTATCCTGTAAAGATACATTTCGAGTGCAGCTTGGAAGATTGCTTGTGTATGCTGTGTCCCCGGTACGCTCCTTGCAGGAAAGAAAGAAAGCTTTGGACATCTTAGCTGAAATTAACCACCAGGACATTTTGCGAGACTGTCTAAATCCAACTTTGCAAGTAAGCACTGCAGCACCTCTTAACTACTGAATGTGGAATACGTTTATTACTACTAAAAGCTTCTGGATAATCTATTCCTAGTGAATTTTAGTTCACTATTAAAATGTAAAACCGTATGTGAGAGAAGCTTCCTTTTTTTCACCACTCTATTGTAGTGGTCAAAATCTTGCTGTGTGACTCCACCTGTGCAAAAGAACTGGTTTCATTGTCAGAGCCAGATTACTGCTAATCAATTTCTTAATTTCAGGAAATTTCCCAATTTGGAAGTGGCAATTGATAAATAAAAGCAACTAGGTCTCCAGTTATTGTTTAGTCATTAAGATGTGTCCAACTCTTCGTGACCCCATGGACCAGAGCACGCCAGGCCCTCCTGTCTTCCATTGCCTCCCAGAGTTTCGTCAAATTCATGTTGGTAGCTTCGATGACACTGTCCAGCCAGCATATGATCTGTCATACCCTTCTCTTCTTGCCTTCACTCTTTCCCAACATCAGGGTCTTTTCCACGGAGTCTTCTCTTCTCATGAGATGGCCAAAGTATTGAAGCCTCAGCTTCAGGATCTGTCCTTCCAGTGAGCACTGAGGGTTGATTTCCTTTAGAATTGATAGGTTTGATCTCTTTGCAGTCCAGGGAACTCACAAGAGTCTCCTCCAGTACCACAGTTCAAAAGCATCAATTGTTCAGCGGTCAGCCTTCTTTATGGTCCAGCTCTCACTTCCATACAACACTACAGAAAAAACCATAGCTTTGACTATCCGGACCTTTGTCGGCAAGGTGATGTCTCTGCTTTTTAAGATACTGTTGAAGTTTGTCATCACTTTCATCGCAAGGAGCAGGCATCTTTTAATTTCGTGGCTGCTGTCACCATCTGCAGTGATCATGGAGCCCAAGAAAGTAAAATCTGTCACTGCCTCCATATCTTCCCCTTCTATTTGCCAGGAGGTGATGGGACCAGTGGCCATGATGATAGTTTTTTTGATGTTGAGCTTCAGACCATTTTTTGCTCTCTCCTCTTTCATCCTCATTAAGAGGTTCTTTAATTCGTCCTCACTTTCTGCCATCAGAGTGGTATGATCCACATATCTGAGGTTGTTGATATTTCTTCCGGCAATCTTAATTCCGGTTTGGGATTCCTCCAGTCCAGCCTTTCACATGATTTATTCTGCATAATTTAAAT